AAATGTCTATTCATGTTCTTTGCCTATGTTTAAAACGAGGGTGTTTTAGATACAAAACAAGTTCTTTATGTGTTCTGGATATTATTTCCTTATCAAGCACATCATTTGCAAATATTTTCTACCATTCCATGGTTGGTTTTTCAATTTGTTGATTGTATCCTTTGATCCACAGAAGCTTTGAAATTTTGATATATTTCAATTTATCTATTTTTTTTCTTTTGTTGTCTCTGCTTTTGGTGACATATTCAAGAAATCATCGCTGAATCAAGTGTCATTGAGCTTTTTCTCTTGTTTTCTTCTAAGAGTTCTGTAGTTTTCATTTTTATGCTTAGGTCTTTGATCCATTTTGAGGTAATGTTTAAGGTAATGGTATAAGGTAAGGATTTGGTTTCATTTACTACATGTGAATGTACAATTTTGCCAAAACAGTGGGTTGATAGAAGTCTAGTTCCCATGATCAATAGTGCTCTATCAAATCTACAGAAAGAAAGAACAAATGGTAATAAAACATTGGGAAATATTGAACATGGGTTTATGTCTTAATTATAGCAAGTTGAGAAAAAGGAGACAATAGCAACTTGATAATTATATGTGAGAATTTGACTTTGCATATAAAAACATGACCCTTTAAATGAAATATCCTTTTCAACCTCTAGATTTTCTTCCTGAGATCTGCCTTCAATTTCTTTTTTTAATATCCAAAAGCAGAATCGCAGCTTCACAGTACTTACATCACATTACAGCTAACACTGATGAGCTAGTGTCTTATGAAACATTGCCAGATATCTTTGGAAGGCCATGTTCCTTTTATTTTTCTTAGACATTAAATATTGAATTCAAGCCAGAACCAGTTTGTTCCCATTTAGGTTTGTCTACAACTAAATGGTCAGCATCTTTGCTACAAGACAAAACATGTAAGAAACACCAATTGCCTTGTTATAGCATGTTCAAAAGCCAGTGGTCTTGCTTTCTAGTAATTCAGCAACCCTGGGCCTATGAAACTCTGCAGCTGCTTTTTGAAATGTTAGAGGTATGACCTGTGTGAGGATGTCATAACAGTGTCTTGAAGTGACAACAAGAACTGTAACCACCAACTGGATTTGGTATGGGGACAGCTTGGGCTCTGGTAGGTGTGTGAGGTAACTGGAGAGAAAGAATTGTGAACAACTTACGCACGAGGAATTCTAGAGCATGACTCATGTAAGGCAACATCAGTATGAGTTGTGGATGGTTTATTCTTTTTCCCTGGGATAATAAACAGTCAGAGGTAACGTAAAGTTTTAACCCTGCCAAATAAAAGGAGTTTTTTTTGTTGTTATTATCTTTACCATGATATAATGCATTGAACTAAAAATGAAGGTGCAAGCCAAAATATGTCATGTAATCTTCAGATATTATACTGTAATGTTTTTTCATAATGTAATAGAGCTGTTTTTAGCGGGAAATCAGTAGTAGCAGATATTATAGGAGCATACATTATAACCATTTGACATTTTCTTGGGATTATTTTCTGTGTGAATAGTAGTAAAAGGAATGTCATCAAACCAGGTATGTTTAGAAAGCACAGAAGATTTTGCATGCAAAGATTACTTGATGTACGGTGCCAGTATTACAGCAATGATATTGTAGTGCAATGTTACAGCCATGTTCATTGATGTAAATGCCTGCTATCTCTATGCTTTGGTCTTGATATGAGGGTGAAAGGGATGTTAATTAGTTTGGTTTTGTTTTTTACTTTTACTGGATCAAATGATAATATTTAGGTTAGCTATTATTTTAAACTCAAGTGTTAACTCAAATACTCCTTTTAGCATGTACTATAATCACATGTATTTGGAATACTTATGTCTAGAATAACCCAGAGAGCTATACATAACAATTATTTATATTTTCACTTGGCGACTATATTTTATCCTCCCAAATGATATCAGTTTGCCTGAGCTGGAGGTGGAGGTTTTTGATGTGTGAGCTTCCACTGAATGTGTTTTTATTTCACTTAAGGAAAGGACAGTGTATACACAGTCTGTCACAAGGGAAAAAACCTTTAGAAGAATCTTTGGCTCTTTTCCTGAACATAATTAAATGTCTTTTATCCTTTCCTTTGCCAGAAATTTAATGATTTATATTTAATAATTGAGATGTAATCATTTCCCCAATTTTATTCCCACTTGATGAAAGAAGCAAGGTCTAATATAATAAACACTTGCTGACTCAAATTTTCCTCCTCTTTTTAAACTATTTTTTTTAGGACTCAGCCCAAAACTATGTTTGCCCAAGTTGAATCTGATGATGAGGAAGCAAAGAATGAACCAGAATGGAAAAAACGTAAAATTTGAAGAATTTTGTTTGAGAACCGTTTGCATGAGAGGAAGGGATGTGGAACAGTGTTTTGATTTCTTTAATGCTTATGAAATAAAAAATGCATTTTTATGAACAGATTTTGTCCTTTCCATCATTGAGTCATCCAAAAGATTGATAGTAGGGCTGGGGATGTGGCTCAAGCGGTAGCGTGCTCGCCTGGCATGCGTGCGGCCTGGGTTCGATCCTCAGCACCACATACCAACAAAGATGTTGTGTCTGCCGAAAACTAAAAAAAAAAAAAAAAAAATTTAAAAAAAAAAAAAAAGATTGATAGTTATTCTTCACTACAATTGTGCTTATATTTTCTTACCTACAACTGTTAAAGTGTGTTACAAGTAAGCAAAATATAGAGAGTTAGCCTGTTATAAATACTTTAGGTATTTGGAGACTCATTCAACAGTCACTGGCCTTGTATAGATTCTCATAACTTTAGCTGGGGAAATGAACATTGAGATGTACATCTGTCTTGAGCAATTTTAGGAACATACCATGGAAATAGAGGTCAAAAAGTTTAATATTCCTGTATAATGTCACAACGATTCTTTATATGACTGTAAATAATTAGGCTGAGTTCAAACAAGAGCATTGTCATACTAGGAAAGAAGAATGTGTGTCTGATTGTCTTTCTACAGTAGAACACAGTGGCTAGTTAGGAGAGCTGGCTCTGAAGTCAGGCCAGTGTGGGTTCGAGTCCTGGCTCTGCTCTTCACTGTCTGGCTCACCTTTGGAGAATTATTAAACTATGTTGTAGCCTTGAGATAGCAGTACTAACCTTGTAGGCTTATCCGAAGGATTAAATAAGACATTCCTTGTACAGCATTTGGTACACTATAAATTCACACTAAATAATTGCTGTTTTAACATAAGGCTAATAATATGACTTTGCTGATTTTCATTAGTATTAAATTTTAAAGATATAGAAATGCTTAGTAAAAGTAATGACTATATAAATAGGTAACATTAAAAATCATGCTAAAAGGTCCTTTTGTGACTAGAAAACTAAAACATAAGTTGGCAGTTTGTCCAAAGTAATAATGGGCCAATGGAATACAATTTTGTGGACTAGTCTCACATAGACATGGGGTCACTTTTGCTTGTTAAGTAGTCCCCTCTGGACCATTCAGGTTTTCAGTACTTGCCTTTCACCCTCCTGCTCTCATTTGTTCTAGTAAATTAAGTAGTTAACAGAAGTGAATGATGATCCAGAAAGCTCCTGCTTCTACAAGTTTCACTCATAGCCCCGCTCTACCAATCTTCCACTAATGCACAGCTCTCTTCTCTATCATTTCTGCAGTGGCAGTGACATTTTTCTACAAACATAGCTATAAAGACTTTATTTATATATAGTGTTTTTGTCTCCTCCCCGCCTTAACCCCATCTTCATCCCATTCCCCTTTCCTTGTGACTTAACTGATAGTTAATAAGAGGAAGTACTGCGGGTCGCTGTAGTGCACACCCATAATCCTAGTGGCTCAGGAGGCTAAGGCAGGAGGATTGTGAGTTTAAAGCCAGCCTCAGCAACTTAGTGAGGCCTTGTCTCAAAATAAAACATAAAAAGGGCTGGGGAGGTGGCTCAGTGGTTAAGTGCCCCAGTACCAGAAAACAACAATAACAAAAGGGACTAACATCTTCTGAGGACCTGCTATATAATGAATATTGTCCCAGGCTCTTGTACTAGCTGATTTAATCCTCCCAAAAACCTCAAGAGTAAGTACAATTGCTAAACCCACTTTATAGATGAGGCAAAAGAGGCTCCAGGTGTCAAACAGTCTGTCTAAAGTCACAGTCAAGGAAGGCCATAAGAAAACACCCAAGATATCTAAACATCCCTAATTAACAAACTGCCTCAACTTTCCTATTCCTATTGAAATGATTTATCCTAAATCAATTACAGACCAATATTTTGTTCCAGCTGCTTAGGATTTATAAATGTATTATTGCCTCATGGATAAAATTTATTGAAAGCCTCTCACATTTTCTCCATCTTTTTTAAATTTTTTATTTTTTATTCTAATTTGTTATATATGACAGTGAAATACATTACAATTCATATTACACATATAGAATACAAATTTTCATATCTCTGGTTGTGTATAAAGTATATTCATACCATTTGTGTCTTTACACATGTACTTTGGATATTGATGCCCATCTCATTCCACCATCATTTCTATCCCCATGTTCCCTCTCTTTCCCTTCCACTCCTTTGCCCCATCTAGAGTTCATCTATTCCTCCCATGCTCCCCTTCCCTACCCAACCATGAATCAGCCTCCTTATATCAGAGAAAACATTTGGCATTTGTTCTTTTGGGGATTGGCTAATTTTACTTAGCATTATCTTCTCCAACTCCATTCATTTACCTGCACATGCCATGATTATATTTTCTTTTATTGCTGAGTAATATTGCATTGTGTTTATGTACCACATTTTTTCTACCCATTCATCTACCAAAGGCATCTAGGTTGGTTCCACAGTTTAGCTATTGTGAACTGTGCTGGTATAAACATTGATGCAGCTGTGTCCCTGTAGAATGCTAGAATGCTGTTTTTAAGTCCTTTGGATATAGACTGAAGTGACTCAAAATGGAGTAGGCAGGAAGAGCATGAGAAGAAAATTACCTCTAGATAGGAAAGAGAGGTGGGAGGGAAAGGGAGGGAGAAGGGGAATTGCATGGAAGAGGGAAGGAGACCCCCTTCATTATACAGAATTCAGGTATGACGATATGAGGGGGAAAAAAAGAAGAAACAATTTTATGTGGTAGAGAAAAGACAAACATGTTTTTTATAATTTAGTGTAAATTTGTATGTATAATCATTTTATAGGGAAATTAATGATGGGACGCTCAGTATTATATATTTGAACAACAATGTGAAAATGAGAGTGGAAATGGAAGAAGAAAATTGTAAAGGGAAAATGACCTTTATATGTTTTTTTTATTTATTTTAATAACATCAAGAAGCTAATCATTATTAGCTTTGTAAAACCATGGTCTGTTGGCAGCTAAAAATCTCAATAAATATATGGTATTTAAGTCCTATAAACCACTAATTGGAAGTTTCATCACATGAGCATTATTTAAAATGCAACTTACTGACATATTGTACTTTCATGGATTACACATAAATGTGTACAATAAGCTAAAGAATTTGACTAGGGGAAATAAGCTATAATTTCTAAATAGAGAAATACAAATCAATTTAACAGCGACACTTTTAGATAGTAAAGCAAATATCAAAATTACTATCTTATTAATAAGCTAATCTTATTACTCTTTTCGGAAAATATCTGAAATATTTCTTGAACATATTTTTCCACCATCACCAGTAAAGCTTCAAAATAAGTTAAAAAATTTCAAAACTACAATTTTTTATCATAAAGTAAGAGAGGATTCATATTAAAGAACTGAACCAGAAACCTTCTTGGCCTCACTGGGGACCAAGTTTTAAGTACTTGTAAATCAGTTTACAAGCAATACAATAATATCTGTGCATAATCAAAACTACTCTAAGACTTCATCTCACTCTAGTCAGAATGACAGCTATTATGAAGACAAACAACAATAAGTGTTGGTGAGGATGTGGGGAAAAAGGCACACTCATACATTGCTGGTGGGACTGCAAATTGGTGCAACCAATATGGAAAGCAGTAAGAAGATTCCTTGGAAGACTGGGAATGGAACCATCATTTGACCCAGCTATCCCTCTCCTCAGTCTATCCCCATCTTAATATAAACGTTGCACCATTTGGAAGTATTCGTCTTGTACAGCCAAAAGTGGAGGAGGGTTGGGGGAAGGAATAAAAACTTGATCATAGTGGTCTTGGCAGAGTCTGCTATGATGTAAGGACAGAGATAGGCAAATTCAGCATGCGGATGATTTTCTCACCGTTGTGTACAAGTAGGTCATTTCATGTTTGAGGTGATCATTCTCACTCAAGAGTTTTGTAAAGGATTATTTTTGCCACATAAAGTTGACAAAATGCATATAAAGACTTAGTTTTTAATTTGGTGAGGGAGTACTTTAGAACCAGGACTGGACAAATAGGAGGTATTCATTTGGCCTGAAGTCCTGTCATCAGGGTGGACATTACCAGTTGGTTATCTCTCATGAATTATTTGGGTGAGTCTAGAGATTATGACTAAAGAAAATAATTTTAATAATTTTTCCTTCAGTTCCTTCAGAGAGTTGCTGTCTTTTTTCCTATTTTCCCTTCACAATTTGCCTGGCAGTGGTTCCCTGAACTGCTATAGCTTCCATACTTGGTCTTATCCCTCTATCCTCAGGACAGACAGATGCCCAGTATTGTAGCTTCCCAATCTAAATTATTCATGATCTTATGAGCTTATAAGTAAGTCTTCCTCAAAACTTTTTTATTCTAAGACATCTATGGCTGAATCACTGATGCTAGTTTTGTTGTTTATAAGTGACTCTGAAGTGTGGGTGGTTGGCAACAACTGGACTCTCTCCTCATATCTGCCTGACAGAGCTGACATGACCAGATGTCTGGTGCTACTCCTCAGATCTCTGAAGTTCATCAGCCATTGCAAAGGATAAACATATGATGAAATTATATTTAGTACATTAATCAAGGTGTCTTGTTAAATGGTATGGCTGGTATCTTGGCTGTAGCATGAAAGATGAAGTCAGGAGTTTGGGGTTCATGTTCCTCCTTTGTTACGTAGTAATTTTGTGAATTTACGGAAGTCACATAAACTAGGAACCTGTTTCTTCATTTGTAGAATATTTAGCCACCTAGCCCACATCCACAAGAGGGTTATGGTTCAAATACTGGGGTTGGGGAGAGCTTTGCAAACTATGAAATGCTAATAAAGTTGTTGCCTCTTTTGGTTATTTATTATTAGTACTTCAGTGAATGTACATGAAAGAGGCAGCAAGCCCAAGTCTGTATCAGCATATAATCAAGAATGGTTGTGGTGGCTGAAAGAATGTTCTACTAACAGGGAGAATTTGACTCTGCATGTCTGAAAGGATGTCATCCAATGTGGAAGTTACCCAAGATTTGGCTAAGATTGGGTGGTGCTCTGGTGTGGTTGGTATAGCTTCTCATAGGGCCA